AAATGCTGAAAGTGATATGGACAATGAAGTCCAGGCTGAGGAAGTTTTATATGGAGATGGGTAAAACTTGGGAACTGGAGTAAAGGCTCAGTTCCTTGCTGTGCTTCAGCAAAGAGACTGGTGGCATTTTGCCACTGCCCTAGGGATCTGTGAAACTTTGAATTTGAGGGAGATGATTTAGGGTATCTGGCAGAACAAATTTCTAAGTAGCAAAACATTCAAGATGTAACCTGGCTCTTTCTAAAAGTGCATACTTATATGCATTCACAAATAGATTGGTCTGAAATTGAAACTTATGTTTAAAAGGGAAGCAAAGCATAAAGACATGGAAAATTCACAGCCCTCATGGACAAACTCTCCTAGGACAGTGTGGAAAGGAATGGGGTCAGAGAACCCACATGGAGTTCCTACTGTGGCACTGCCTAGTGGAGCTGTGAGGACAGGGCCACCATCCTCCAGAACCTAGAGCAGGAGCCATACCCTGCGGAGCCACAGAGGCTGCCCAATGCCTTGGGAGCCCACCCCTTGCATTAGTGTGCCCTGGATGTGAGACATGGAGTCAAAATATATTATTTTGGAGCTTTAAGATTTAATGATTGCCCTGTTGGGTTTTTGACTTCCATGGGGCCTGTAGCCCATTTATTTTGGCCAATTTCGCCCATTTGGCATGGGAGCATTTACCAAATGCCTATATTCCCATTGTTTTTTGGAAGTAACTAACTTGTTTTTTATTTTACAGACTCATAAGTGGAAGGAAGCTGCCTTGTCTCAGATAAGAGTTTGGACTTGGACTTTTGAGTTAATGCTGGAATGAGGTAAGACTTTGGGGACTGTTGGAATGTCATGATTGGTTTTGAAATGTGAAAAGAACATGAAATTTGGGAGGGTCAGTTGCAGAATGATGTGGTTTGGCTCTGTGTCACCCAAAATCTCATCTCGAATTATAATTCTCATATGTTCGAGGAGGGGCTTGCTGGGAGGTGATTGAATCATGGAGGCAGTTTCCCCCCTACTGTTCTTGTGATAGTGAATAAATTCTCTTGAGAGCTGATAGTTTTAAAGTGTGGCACTTTCCACCTTGCCCTCCACCTTGCCCTCATTGTCTCTCTCCTGCCACCATTTCAGATGTGCCTCACTTCCCTTTCATCTTCCACAATAATTGTAAATTTCCTGAGGCCTCCCCAGCTATGTGGAACTGTGAGTCAATTAAACCTCTATAAATTACCCAGTCTTGGGTAATTCTTTATAGCAGTGTGAAAATGGACTAACATAGCTACCCTCTAAGGAATTCTGCTTCCTCTGGTTTGAGCCATCATTAGATTCCAATGCCTGGGCACTGGGAAAGGGGGTGTGAGTTGGGGGGGTGACAAGCACTGCTGCAGGAGTCAAAAGGCTACTTTGAGCAGTTTCAAACATGGGAAACGTGCATCTCTTTAAGGTGCTGTGATCTTGTTGGTTTGTTCATCATAAGATGCAAGATTATGAGGGAGTTCATGACATGCCACCCCAAATATGCCATGATAATTATTTTGAGCTAAAGTTGTTACTGAAACACCAGGGATTCTGCCTAGGTTCTGCTGCTCACTACACAGAAAGCCAATCATTGAGACAGAGAGAAACATCCAAACCATATCACAAGTATTGACTAGCTTTGGAAAATAGTAATTATTGCCCAGGCATGGTGGCTTTTGCCTATAATCTCAGCCCTTTGGGAGGCTGAAGCAGACAGATCATGAAGCCAGGAGATCGAAACCATCCTGGCCAATATGTGGAAACACCATCTCTACTAAAATACAAAAATTAGCCTGTCATGGTTCCTCTTACAGGGCCAACCTCAACAAGCTTGTGATTTCTCACCAATATCTCAAAGCTGCTCATTTAAAAGTCCCCATGTCAAATTCCATTACATTTTTATGGAAAGTGGGCAATGTAGTCAATCTGGCTGTTTCCCGCTGAGAAAGGGCACAGTAAAGTGGTATTGGAACGAAATATGTTGATCTGGACTCAGAAAAATTCTTGAATTCCTGGACTTATAGTAGGGGTTTGTTGGAGCATTATGGTGCAAGGACCTAGTGGTTTTTGAGAAAGCTTGTCCTACATTTCCGTGCAAACTGTACAACAGCAATAAAATCCATAGCAACAAAAGCAAACAATGAGCAGAATGACAATTATATTGTATATGAGAGTCTTCCATGTATTAGGGAGTTGAATAAACCATGCTGTCCCAGGGTCTTGAGAGAGCATATATAGTAGAAATATGAGTATCTCAGGCCTGCATAGCTTGCGTTATATTGTGAGAATAATCTGGTATATAGGTAACACTCAGCCTTATATATAGATAACACAAACTTATGAAGATAGTCCTGACAAGTGTATATTGAACAAACATACATGTGTGAGCCATGTTTATTTTGAGGTAAAGGATTAACATTTAAATGTATTATATTTAGGCCTTATAAGTCAAAAGGTTTTTTTTAGGACATAAAGGTATGCAAGCGTGTGTTTTCTATAAGCTAGTCAGACCTGGCCCATGGTTGGTGGTCTCTTATAAGGAGAAAGTTACTGAAATTGGTCTCTTGTCTAACTAAAGCTGTAGTTATAGCTGGTGGGGTAGGGGCTAGGAGTCAGTCAGCTTATCTCAAGGCCAGTTCTTGTTTGGGTGCTGGAGAAAAAGAAAAATCTTGCGGCAGTTAGAGCATAGTTTACTCTTTTTTTTTTTTTTTTTTTGAGACGGAGTTTTGCTCTTGTTACTGTGATATTGTGCTGGCCTAGAGCCAGAACCGGAGCAAAACTATTTTATAAAATGCGAAACTGTTTTTAGATAAGTTGAAATGGCTGCCCCATTCTCCTTACAATAACTACTGTCCTTGGCCTCTGTAAATAGAACTGCTAGTTTGTTCTTCAAAACTATGTAAAGCTGCTCACCTTTTCTTATCAGTAACTGCCAGAATTGCTAGCCTTTGCTTACCAGCAATTGCCTGACTAAGCAGCCCAAGCTAGTTCCATCCTGGCTCCTGTGGCTTGTAATAAGTAACTAAGGTCTGTGATTTCCACCTTAACCAGATAATGTGTAAACAAATGTTTATCTTGACTTCTGTAAACCACTTAAGTAACAAACGGAATGACAAAAGTCCCCTGGCCCTTGGAATGTCCGGAGACCCCCACCCTCATCTCTGCCCAGGAGGTAATTTACAGAATCCACTAGCCCTCGGAATGTCTGAAGCCTTTTCATCCCCATCCCTGCCCCTCACCCCCACTCCCAAGGTGGTTTTTCGGGTATAAAAAATCGTGGCACCCTCCTTTTGCCACCACAGGTTGGAGAGACGTGAGTCCTCTGTGGTCGCCGGCATAATAAATGACCCTGCAATCTGGCATACTTTTGTCTTGTGATAACTTTCTACGCTCCGGTCAAATACAACATTACCCAGGCTGGAGTGCAATGGCACGATCTCGGCTCACCGCAACCTCTGCCTCCTGGGTTCAGGCAATTCTCCTGCCTCAGCCTCCTGAGTAGCTGGGATTACAGGCACGCACCACCATGCCCAGCTAATTTTTTGTATTTTTAGTAGAGACGGGGTTTCACCATGTTGACCAGGATGGTCTCGATCTCTTGATCTTGTGATCCACCCGCCTCGGCCTCCCAAAGTGCTGGGATTACAGGCTTGAGCCACCGCGCCCGGCCTAGCATAGTTTACTCTTTAAGTGTAGGAGTATGTGACTTAACCTTTGCCTAACATGTTTTTAGGTCCTGTTTATAACTAGGCATTTTACTATTACAGAGTCTGTTTTGTCATTCTTATTATCTTGATTTTACTGTTAATGCTGATTAGTTGTGCCTAATTGTTGGAATTCACTTGGAGTGGCTGGCAAAATATTAGGGAAATATTACAGAAAGTTATAGGTTATGGTCTCAAACCTTTTGGAAGGCCAAAAAGTTTTATTGGGACAGGCTGAAGACAGCCGGTCTGTTACGTTAGGAAAAGATAGGGATGATAAAAGGCCTCCGGTTCAGTCTATTTACCCCTCATCCCTTTGTCTCTACTCTATTTACTCATGTAAACTTTGTGCTGGATGTCCCTCTCAGGGGGAGATCAAAGGGGAATCACCCATTAACCGTGTTTACTCTGGGCCTCTGAACTTAAAGCTTTTATCATTCATAAAACCACTCTTTTAATCATGTTAACTATCCACAAGCATGTTAACTTAGAACTTCTGTTATGAAATCTTTACTGAATAAATGTGAGGATGGAGCAGGGTGGTCTTGGTTGATTGGCTGCATTTCGCCCTCTGAAAGCAGCCGATGACCATCCCTAGCCCATGAGAATCACTGAACCAGGTGTGAGAGTGCATTTATTCATCCGTTGTTGAGTCGCAGTCTGCAGGACAGACCTCGGTAGGTGATGACCCACATCGCAGGTGGTGACCCCGATGTGATTGAGATGATGTGTGTGTGACATGTGATGTGTGTGGTGTGTGTGTGGTGTGTAGTGTGAAGCTTGTGTATGTGGCGTGTGATGTGTGTGTTGTATGTGACATGTAAGGTGTGTTGTGTGTGTTCAGCATGTATGTAATATGTGTGACATGTGATGTGTGCTGTGTGTGCTGTGTGTGTGGTATGGTGTATGTGTGGTGTGTAGTGTAGTGCTTGTGTATGTGGTATATGTGTGTGGTGTGTGGTGTGCTGTGTGTGTGGTGTTTGTGACGTGATATGTGATGTGTGTCATGTGATGTATGTTGTGTGTGTTGTGTGTGTGTGGTGTGTATGACATGTGTGGTGTGTGG